GGGGCCTAGGCCTCCCAAAATCCACCACCAACTCCTTACTAGTGTTCAGTTGTAGGTGGTTTAGGTCACTCCATTTAACAAAGTCCTTGATTAGGTTCCTATACTCCTCCTGACCACACCTGACACAGCCCACTATAGCGGTATCGTCGGCAAACTTTTGGACGACAGGACTCCGAGTTGTATTGGAAGTCCGATTAATATAGGCTGAACAGGACTGGAGAAAGCACAGTCCCCTGCGGTGCTACTGTGCCGCTGACCACAATGTCAGACCTGCATTTCCCGAGACACACATACTGAGGTCTGTCTGTGAGATTGGCCACTATCCATGCCACCAGGTATGAATCTACCCCCATCTCTATCAGCTTGTCCCTAAGGAGCAGTGGCTGAATGGTGTTAAAGGCGCTTAAGATTATTAAGAGAAATCCAGGAACATGATCCTTACCGCACCACTGCATTTATCCAAGTGAGAAAGGGATTGGTGTAACATATAGATGATGGCATCCTCCACTCCAACTTTCTCTTGGTATGCAAACTGCAGGGTCGAGGGCATGGCGGACCTGTGGCCTCAAGTGGTGAAGTAGCAGCCGCTCCATGGTCTTCATCACATGTGACGTCAGGGTGACAGGCCTAAAATCATTCAGCTCCCTAGGATGTGATACCTTCGGATCTGAGGTGATGCAGCCTCGGAACTCTCCCCTGTTCCAGACTCATGTTAAAGATGCGCTATAGAGGACTACCCAGCTCCAGCACACAGGCCTTCAGGAGTTGAGGCGATACTCCATCTGGACCAACCGCTTTGCTGGCACAAAGCCTCCTCAGCTCTTCGCTTACCTGGGTTGCTGTAAATGTGAGCGGGGCTAACCTCGTTCCTATGCTAGTATCAGCAAAAGGATGGGTGGAGGATGCAGTACTCTGAGGTGAGGGTGAGAATGGGTTAGGGTGGTCAAACCTGTTAAAATAGTTATTCATCAGATTTGCTTTCTCCACATCTCCCTCGATGAAGGCACCCCACTTTGAGCTGCAGTCAGTTATAATCTTCATCCCTTCCCACACTTCTTTCATGCTGTTATTCTGCAACTTTTGCCCCAGCTTACTCCTGTACTGATCTTTTGCCATCCTGAGCTGGGTTCGAAGTTCCTTCTGCACGCGCTTCAGCTCATGCCGATCACCGCCTTTAAAAGCCCTTTTCTTCTGGTTCAAAAGGCCCTTAATGTCACTTGTAATCCATGGCTTGTTGTTAGAATAGCAGTGTACTGTTCTTACTGGAACTACAATGTCCATACAGATGTTGATGTAGTCAGTTGTGCAGTCAACAGCCTCCTCAATGTTCTCCTCATGTAACCCCTGTAGAATATCCCAGTCCGTAGTTGCAAACAATCTCTCAGAGCCAATTCAGCCCCAGGGGACCACTTCCTAAATGAACGTTCCCAAGCGCAGGCAGCGGGGTGGCGCTGTATGCATCCTTAACATTTGCATACAGCATGTCAATAATCCTATTTCCCCGGGTAGTACAACCCATATATTGGGAGAAGACAGGTAATGTTTTTGTCCAGCATCACATGGTTAAAATCTCCTGAGATTAGCATAAGCGCCTCGGGGTGCTGTGTTTGTAGTTTAGAAACAGCGGAGTGGATGACATCACATGCTATCTCCACATCCACACAAGGAGGGATGTAAACAATAGCCACAATAACGTGTTCAAACTCTCTGGGCAAGTAATAGGGATGCAGATTTACAGCCAACCAATGTATTCACATAACTTAATTCAGTTAATAAGTGCGTTTCATGGAGGTATTTGCATTGTTTCCTTATTACAGCACTTAGAATAATATCCAAAGTAATATCATCGTTTAACAAGTCATCTTAATAATGATGCTGTCTAAATGATTAACTTAACTGGATAAAGTCAGTACTAAAAACATTACACTAATGTCTTTATCTGGAACTAGTTTACAATACCTGACACCATGGAGACAACTCAGTGTGTCCCCATGTGAAGATATTTTTTGTAAATCAATTCCCAAAGAGGCATTACATTGTACACTGCAGATTTAAGTACTATAGAACAGAATAGTTTAAGTAACCCACAACATTCAAATAGCTACTGAAAGCTTTGATACAAAATGCTACAACTACGTTAGTAATACTCATCGTAAGTGGTTGCATGACGAGGTGTAGAAATTATGTATAGTCTATGGAAACTCCTAACACATGATAACGTTACTTTGCCGTATGGAGATGCCGAACCTAATGCCTGCCTCAGCATCCCAATAACGTGTGTTGCTGCATTCTGTAACTGTATCTGTTTTATATTGATGGGGAAACAGGATTGGGGGCAATGAGAATTGATGAAATTACTTATAACATGGATAAACCATACTTCATCCGCCAACAGCATTTGCTGTCAGAAACAGCATGACTCCGCCCCCAAACTGTCAAAACCTCCCCCCGGCAGAACACGAGCGCAGAAATTTCCCTCGAGCGCAGAGAGCGGCTGAAAGAAATGCGCTTTGCGCGTGAGCGCACCATGACGTTGGGAGGAGAAAAACACATTAGAGAAGGTGATATTATGATGAACGCAAACGCAGCTCTTCGTCCTGTGCTCGCGAGTTTCATTTTGCGCTCGCGAGTGGCATATTTACGCATTTTGACTTTGATGTGATGCCATATAAATCCCTTAAGATTTTTCCTTAACTAATGAAACCTTAAATTAATACCTTAGCTAAGAAGAAATTAAGCCTTAAGTGTCATAATTAAGGGGAAATTTAAGGTGTTTTGTGCCCCTGGAATTGTTCTTGCTGAATGGAATCTCAACAGGTATTCAGCTTCAAGTTGGTACATCTCTGTTGTGGCAAATTGGCAGTGGATGTTCTTAATACTAATACACAATGTGGTAATACACTGTCAGTACTTAATACATACTGTCTTGTCGCAGTTCAGCAAATTTTGAGAATCTGATTTTGAGATCTGGATGCTTCTCTTTGAAGTTTTTGAAAGCCTCAGGAAGGTTGCAAAGCACAAGTCTCTCTTGAATCAGCTTCCTCACCATCAACTTTTACTGACACATCATCTTCATTCCAGGTATCTCCCGACTGAGAGAATCTGACAAGTAGAAGTGCTTTACCACTTCCTCTGTAATTCTAGAAAGTGTTTTTCCTGACCTTGGATTAGGCATTTACAAAATCCCTTGTTCTTTTACCAACATCTTGGATTTCCATGCTATGTAGTGGGAAGCACCAAATTCCTCCTGAATTTTCCTCACACTCCAGCCTTTTGGTAACATTGCTGGGATTTGCACCTTTTCACTTTTTATTCTGAAAACTTGAACTTATAGCCAGTCTATTATTTCCTTTCCATCATCTTTATATGGACTCAATGTCCAGTGGCAACTTCTAACTTCATGCTACTGTTAATCCTATGTGCTTTGAGTTTTACATATGAGCTCTGCCCCACTCTCTTTTTACTAGAGATTCACCAATCAATGACAAAGGTTTAGAAGTGGTAATTCATCATTGGCAAATGTACCTTCTTCTCCAGATGTTAAGGGACCAACCATAGGTTCAGGATCGGGAGGGATTAAGTCACTACTGGAAGGGTCAGACTGACCAATCACTTTGATCTTGGGTGTGAGTTTTGATAGTCTCACCAGCAGTTACTGAAGATGTGCAGATCTGACCTTAAATTGAGACTGTATTGCTGTCTCAGTCACATCTCTAAAGCACCCATTATCTTTTGGAGATGACATTTGAAAGAGTCACAACAAATTTTCTGCTTGAGTCTAAACAAGTTCTTTCCCGAAGACATTGTGAAAATATATGCTGGTGGAGCAAAGACAATGCTTTTATATCCACCAGGTAATTAACAATATCTGCTATTGATTACACCTGACCGATTTGCACACATGACTCTCCTCTGATTAATGCAGGGCAGAGCATTGGCATTTATTAGCCACATTGGAATGGGCCCTTTTCACAGCAGCCATTTTGACATGAAATAGTATGGCAAGCACAGATGTCACTAATGATATTAATGAAGTTTCTGTTCAGTTTCAGTGTAGCATAATAGGAATTTAATTAATGTCATTACATACACCTGTGCTTGCAATACTATTTCATGTCATTATGGCTGCTATGAAAAAGACCCATGAGTGATATGAAACCATGTGTTGCCACCTATAAGCCATGATATATTGGCAACAACTCAAAAACCAGATAAAATTTGTTGGAGATGTTCATAGCTTTAGTAAAAAAATATATAGTTTTTTTTGCTATTCAATTTTTAATATAATAATCACTGAGAATGAAGAATCCTATAAATGATCGAATTGAAAACTCAGGTTTCAAGTAAATAAATGAATATATATAAATTTACTGAATCATCATTTTTCAACATATATAAACCCCATTTATATATAATGTATAATGATAAATGTAACACATGCACACACTCTGGATATAAGGGACTTTGGATATAATATATATATATATATATATATATATATATATATATATATATATATGCATATGTTACATTTTGTTTTGAACAAAGGAAATCTTTGTTTAAGATTTAGGTTAAGCCTAATGTTGCCTTACACATAAAAGAATGATCACATTCTCTTCCACACAATGAGGCAAAAGCCTACAGCTTATTAATTAAACACTGGTATCGAATTTGTACTTGGGTATTTGTGCCGATACCCAAAGCCCAGCCATCCCTAATTATAATCAGTCAAAAAAACGGTAATTTTAATTTTAATTTACCGTTAATTTTAATTTAATTTAAGCTTAAATCTCCCTTAATATTGATTCAAGACACGTGCAATTTCAGTCCCATGGGTTACTCATATAACCAAATCAGCAGCAAGTTTCGTTAAAATCTGTGATAATGAGGTCCATCGTGTGATGATTTGACACAGAATTACCCTATGCCTCAGACACACTGGCAAAGTGCATTTAACACTGGTCACTATGGTCTGTGAGGCCTGGCCTGCTTGTGTTTACCTTGCACGTGGGATTCTTGTAGAGGTGGTCACCCATCAGTAGTCTGTCAATGTAGCCAGCAGCCCCCCCGGTGCAATTAGGATACAGGCCATTGTCCCCGATGCCACCAGGACCCAGGTAGCCTCTGGAGAAGCACACAGACCCCTGACACAGTGTCATGCTCCCTAGAGAATGGGCCCAGCTCTGCTACACAGCAGCTAGATTCAGGTGAACTGTTCAAAACTGTCATCACCTTGTGTGTGGGTGTGAGGGACTCTACACACCACAAAGGATATGAAAGAGCTTCATAAAGAAAAGGATTTTAAGAGAACAAAGCATTTTGGGAAAATGGAAGAGGAAAAGAGAGAAGGATGAGAGAAAGACAGGCAGAAGATAGATTCCCTGTCTCTGCTCTCCTCTTATAGCCCATGACAGAGCAAGATTAGCTAATTATCCCTTCCAAGGTACCCAGCCAGGATCCATAAATCACAAAGAGTGGCTCTGGACCCTGGTCTCAGCCTTCCAACACCAACAGGAGGTGAGTGAGTATCAGGAACGCATACAGCAATATAGGGGTAACACACATAGTGTTGTGTTAACATACACAGCACATGGGGTTAAAACATACAGACGCACAGAATGCTGATAATAATAAACTTTCTGCTTGTGACATATGAAAATACAATTTTAATTTGCTGATGGCAGAGAGATTTGAACATCTGGAGATGTGCTGGATCAGACAGCGGCAGAGAGAGAATGTGTGTGTGTGTGATTTGCATGATCTGCGTAATATATGTGATCAGTGTGATATGTGTGATCTATTTGATCTGTACAGTATGTTATGTGTGAGCTGTGTGATCTATGTAATCTGTATGATACGTATGGTCTGCATGATGTCTGTATGATATGTATAATCTGGGTGATCTGTGTGCTATTTGTGATCTATGTGATATGCATAATTTGTGTGATCTGTGCGATATATGTGATCCGGGTGGGCCAGGACTCACGTGGGGCAGCCAGGAACAGGAAGGAGGAATGTGAGGCACAACCAGAGTGTCTCCATGAGGATGATGATGACCCACTCTGGCCAGTACAGGACCAGGTCTTGGATGGGATACCACCAGTGATGCTGTCGCATACACAAAACAGACGTCAAAATTACATTCATCTGTACTGGGCAGTGTGTCTTCATTGATGTAGCCTTTTGCTTTCAGGTTAATGGATTCAGATCTCTTGGATGTGATGACTGTGAAAGGGGCACAAGAACATCCAAGAGAAGATCATCGGCTGTCCTGCAGGTATCCCATCTGCAGGGCACCCTGTGGCCATGATGGCACAAAACAAAAGGCCCTATCTCCCAGCACATTAACGTGACGCCCCTGCAGCTGTGTGGTAACCTCACTTTGACTCGTGATGCAGTAGTGATTTGTCTTACTGACTTTCAGACATATCTTTGCCACCCATCCCCTTCAGAGCAAGACAGAGCAAATTCTAAGAGACCAAGTTATTTTTTACTCTTTATTTGAGCAAAAGGAGCTGTAATTATCTCAGCAGGTGGACTAAATATGATGAGACCTTCTCCATCCACATCTAATCTACTAATCCACTAACTCTAACCCTAACCCTCTAACCCTAATCCTGTAACCCTAACCCTTCTTCACCTCTATACGCTCCTTGGAAAAAGGACCTCTGAAAGTCACACATTCAACCAAGGCTCTCCCCCCTCCCAGGGGCCCTATCCCAGCAAACAGTCTGCCCACCTCACTGAGCGGGATTTCTCTCCTCAAGCAGGTCATGTGCAGTAGTGAGAGAACAGAGTAGCTGACAGCCAGGCGCTGAAGGACCCCCGGGATGCGGGCCCAGGACCAGGAGACTGCAACAGAGCCAAACCGGAAGACATGAGGTGTGTGTGCAGAGAAGTACCTTTAAGCGTACCGTAGAGCACTGAGGGCATAATTCACCACGTCCTCTGCTCATTCAGGACACAGTGGCATCTCAAAAGCCCTTGGGGTCCAAGGGTAGGCTACAGCCCCAGCAACATCCCTGGGCCCCGGCAAAGTCCCTGAACCCTGGGAAAAGACTGATCACCATCCAGACATTAGTGAAAACCTCTTTAGTGCATGCAGCACTGTGAGCCAACACATACTCCATTGATCCAGAGGAAATCAGATCAAACGGGTAACTTACAGGAACCAAGATAGGCCATGAAACATGACTTTTAATGAATCATGCTTTTGCTAAAATGCCTCTTCCTGCTAGCAGACCTCTGTCTGCTACCCTGAATTCATAATCAATCATAAGTTAATGACAAAGCCATTCGTGCCAAGGTCTCAGCAAGGTAATTAATCATACATGCTATTACCTCTGCAATGGAAATTAAACAATATAAATTTTATATTATATTACTGGCATGTTAGGGCTTGCAGAAAAAAATTCTGAAAAAAAATTCCATCCATCCATCTATGTATGTGTCTTGATCAGGCGTTGAGTGTGGAGTAGTATGGCAGTATAGGGCACAAGGCTGGGGTACACAGTCACAGAGTGGAGATGGGAGTACACCTACAGAGGGGGAGATGGGGATACACCATCACAGGGGAGGAATAGGGGTGTCACCCTCAACCCTAAAGGTGTGAGGCAGCCAGACCACCTGCAGTTTAGATTCAGTGACCCACCTGAAGCTAAGCAGGTTTAGGCCTGGCCAGTATATGGATGGGAGACCAACTAGGACAGCTGGGTTGTTGCTGGAAGAGGTGTTGGTGTGGCCAACAAGTTAGCCCATTGTATGGTCTGTATGGATCTCAATGCTCCAGTGCAGTGATGGGAACACTGTGCTTTAAAAATGGCCCTGGCCTTTGAATGAAACATAAAACCAAGGTCTATAAGATTCTAACAGGTCTGGATGCTGTTCAGGCAAATGGCTATTTCAATATTAGTTTAAATACTAGAACTCGTGGAAATTAGTGGGAGAATATTTTAAAACAAATTTGAGGAAGCATTTCTTTACACAGCGTAAAGAAGTAGTCTTCCTGCTAGTGTAGCGGAAGCTAAATAAGGTTTTAACAACTCTGAGCTATTAGTTAAGCTATTAGCTTGATGGGCCGAATGGCCCCCTCTCGTTTGTAAATTTCTTATGTTCTTATGTCATGTCTTATGTGAAGTCATAAAAGATCCCTGGGCATCTTTCAAAAGAGTAGGGGTGGTACCCCCAATGCCCTGGCTTAATAGCCCATAGTGGCCCTTTCCAAATCTGGTCTCCTAATCATCCCCTGAATATAATTAGCTACTATGGGATGAGTGCACTGGCACAGAATGGCTGCCATTGCATCATCCTGATGGGTACTACATAGTGGTGGTAGTTCAAGTGGCTCCCTGTTGGTTCTGTAAAGTGCTTTATGTGAGTTGAAAAGCTCTATATACATGTACCATTCATTCATTCATCCCCTGAAAAATAATCAATATCACAGCATCAAAAAACAAGCATATATGCACACTAAGCAGTGATAAGGTAAACGTGTCATTTCTGCAGTATTAAATGTGAGAACTACAGCATGCATAGTTTTGGCAAAACATTTGCCCACCTGAGTTCAAATGTTCAAACATGGTCTTATATCTTTTGTGCCTAATACTACATAAAAAGGCACTTTGCTGGTACTCCCTCACCCAAACAGGATGAGCAATTCCATTACAGCAGCTCACAGCTGCCACTCTGTAACTGTATCTGCTGTAAGTGTCCATTAAACTGGCCTTGCTTTTGATCTTTTTAAATGTTTCCCAATAAAATGTTTGCTCTTGAAAGTACAATATTTTTGTAAATGTGATTATGGAAACATGTCCAGGAAAGTGGGGCATGGAAGTGTGTGAATGACAGGCACTTCCCCTATATTCCTCATGGATAAATTCCTCTCTCGTTAGAGCATCGCACACTGAAGCCTCCTGAGTGCCAGAAATGACAAACACCATCCACAGGCTAACTACTTCACCTGCCTTTCCGTACCCATTCTCTATCTCTCTCTGTCTGTCTGGGGGCTGCTGTTCTCTCTCTCTGTCTGCCCTTATTATCCTCACACTGTGTCAACTTGGAAATGGACAGCAATTGTATCTCCAAAGCATCGTTCAGTGGTTCTTCATCAGTGGATTTGAAGTCTCTGAGGAACATCATTTGTACTCATGCCCTGACCAGAATCATCAGCAAGAGGATGAACAGAAAGAGGGAAAGAGATTAATTTACACGAACTTCATGTTCCTCAAATGGTTCAGTGGAATGAATGTATTTTGAAATATTTGTCTGATAAATAATAAAACATTGGTCATTTTGTCATATTCAGGATGTACGTGTGATGAGGTTTGCCTGTTATACCCACACAGTCCATCCTTTGGGGTGTAGTTCAGGAAGCAGAAGCCAATGAGGATAAGTTTCAAACTTCTGTTAAATATCTTGCGGAGCATCTGCAGACGGGACATGCCTCTTTTCCACATGCTGTGGAACGTGAAGATGATCGAAGTCCCAATCATGAACACAAACCTGGTGACACACAACATGAATCAACTGCAGTCCATCTGAAGGCCACCAGGTGAGGTGTTAGCCAAGGAGACACAGATCTTCTGCTGGGGTTTAAGTGTGGTACACTAATATTGTTGTTCCAAAGAGTCCATCATAAAGCAGGCATTTATCATGAGAACCTTATTGTCAGCATTTCAATGTGGTGTGGCAATCTCCATGTGAATAATAAGGACCAGGGGTCTCATTCATCAAACTTTGCGTAAATTTCTTTGTGAAAGAATACATACACATGAAAAGAAAAAAAATCCCATACGCACAAAAAAATCTGATTGATCAGTTTACCTGCAGTTCCCTGCTTTAAAATGGGTGTTGCCTTCTTCCCTATCGAAAATATTGCGTACATCTCTTTCTGAGTTTTTGTAAATATACAATTTTTTTCCTGTCAAGGTTTGTTTGATAAATCCAGGATTTTGCATAAAATGTTGCATGCTGTACATCAGGAGTTTCTCTGTACGTGTATTGATAAAGTTATGGTGAGGCTCACTTGATACACCACCTCCTGTCCACCTCAGCAATACCTTTAAAATGTATTCATAGAACATAAACCAGCAGCATTTAAGTATTCCTGAACATCCAAACATACTTTAACAGCTTTAACATGCATGATGATCACACGCATCACACAAGCCACACATATTACACAGATCACACAGATTATACATATTATGCAGATCATGCAGATTACACACATCACACAGACCACACATATAACAAAGATCTGGTGATATGAGATGGTGAGTCCAAGAAGAAACCAATGACATTTTAGTTTTAGAGTGATAATGATAAAGGGTTGAGGTCTGCTACCATTTACCATCTCATTTCAGGACACCAGGAGAAACCTGCAGCAGAGATAAATGCAGAGATCTGCAATCTACAACCAAATGAGATTCAACCTCCAGGAGCAAAAGACATAAAAAACACCAGGCTGACATGTGCATGGTACTGAGGCTTGACCGATTTGGAAGAAACAGAATGGTTTTGACTATACAGACATGGTGCTGCTTATCGGATCTGACATTTCAGCTACGCAGATGCGGTGCTGCTGATGGGATCTGCCAATTTGGCTACGCAGACGTGGCTTTGCTAATGGGACCTACCATTTTAGCTACGCAGATGTGGTGTGGCTGATGGGATCTACCACTTTGGGTACACAGACGTGGTGTTGCTGATGGGATCTGCAGCTTTGATTATGCAGACATGGTGTTGCTGATGGGATCTGCTGCTTCAGTTAGACAGACACTGTGCTGCTGATGGGATACGTCATGTTTCTGATGACATCTGCCACTTTGTATATACATGCACACTGTTGCTGATGGGATCGGCCATTTCAGCTACAGAGACGCTATGCCAAATCTATTTGCCGGCCATCCGCATGCAGTAACTTGTCATTAACATGTAACAGGTTAGTGTAAGAAAACTGAAGTGGAAATCAAAGCTTGAGGTAACACCAAAGCTGGCCTGGTCAGCGGAGAGCAACTGTGTAAATGCGCAGGTCGCTCTACTGAACGTGTACATAATGCCTTATCATCGCACATACCAAAGGTGAACGAGGGCTTGCATGTTTCACCTGCAGATGAGTGCAAAGTATGTCTGATGTTGTCACCCAGCGTACATCCCTATTACTATAAACAGATGCATTACATGCATTCCAAGTAAAATTTTTCTTCTGAACATCAACAGCAGTACCAATAGCAGGAAGAGGCTCTTTAAATTGGAGTTTTTTTACACCTATTCCTGTCAGCTAATTATACTTCTGTTTTCTCCTTTAAACTGTAAAAAAGTATTACACATAGTTATTTTACGGAGAATAACTAAATATTTACAGTATTTTCCTATTCTTTTAAGATTGCGTATAAAACTGTAAAATGTAACCTAAATGAAAGCAATAAAAGCTTGGTGAATGAATGTCTTGGCCCAACTGTCCACTTAAGTCATGAAAGAGAAGAAACAGAAAAAACTTTCACTGAGCAGCAGCTCTCAACAAATGCCTTGTTGATTTCAGAGGTCAGAGAAGAATGGCCAGACTGGTTCAAGCTGGTATAAAGGCAAAAGTAACTCAAAGAACCACTTGTTACAACCAAGGAATGCAGAAGGGCGTCTCTAAATGCACAACACATTAAACCTTGAAGCACATGGGCTACAGCAGCAGAAGACCACACTGGGTGTTCTTCATGTCAGCTAAGAACAAGAAACTTCAGCTATAGCAGGCATGGGCTCACCAAAACCGGACAATGGAAGATTAGAAAAAAGTTGCCTGGTCAGATGAGTCTTGATTTATGCTGCGACATTCAGATGGTAGGGTCAGAATTTGACGTAAACATCACAAAAGCATGGATCCATCTTGCCTTATATCAACAATTCAGGCTGTTGATGGTGTATTGGTATGGGGGACATTTTCTTGGCTCACTTGGGGCCCATTAGTAGCAATTAAGGATACTTTAAATGCCACAGCCTACCTGTGGTATGGTTGCTAACCATGTCCATCGCTTTATGACCGCATTGCACCCAGCTTCTAGCAGGATAATGCGCCATATCACAAAACTCATATCACCTTAGACTGGTTTCTTGAACATGACAATAAGTTCACTGCACTCAAATGGCCTCCACAGTCATCATATCCAATAGAACACCTATGGGATGTGGTGGAATGCGTGATTCACATCATGAAGGTGCAGCTGACAAATCTGCAGCAACTGTATGATGCTATTATGGCAACATGGACCATGATAAATGTCTCAAGCTCCTTGTTGAATCTGTGCCACAAAGAATTAAGTCAGCTCTGAAGGCAAAAATGGGGTCCAGTCCAGTGCTAGCAAGGTGTACCTGATGAAGTGGCGATTGAGTATACATAAAATGCTCATAAATAAATAAATAAAACAAATAAAAGAACAGAAGTGGACTCACCACGGCATGACTGTGTCAGCCACTGTAAGACCTGTATGTAAAAATGATAGAGATTATAAGCACATTGCTGCACACAGGGGCAGACTTATTTACTCTGCAGAACTATACCAAAATGAAGGTGCATTAAATGTATACATCCCCTGCCTTCCACCGCTCATTCTTCCAGCATCACACTAGCTATAATTATTTCTGTCAGCAACATACTTTTACAGTCCACCTAACTGTACACCTGTGTCCTTCACAACTGCCCTCTGACCCCCCAAAACATCACACAGTGGCAGATTGCCATGGATATCTGATTTGTCTAGTGGCCACTCTGTGATAGGACATCACAAAGACCTATAACATCGATTCATCATTCTCGTGTGGGACGTGGGAAGGATCCTGTGGATTGGCCACTTTAGAAGCTAAATGCTACTTACTTATTTCACGTAATTAAGTCCTGTCATTGGAAACATTCATTGGCACAGTGAGCTTGGTGAATTATGCCCAAGACAATATTCAAGACAATTTAGGTAAATAGGAATACAGACGCTCCTCTACTTACGAACTTTCAACTAACGAACTTTCAGATATATGAACGAAGAGGACTGAATGTCCAAATTGTGTTCCTTGGGCTCCCGTTTCCTGTTTGCAACATCGATTTTTTTTTCTGCACGCCAATTCTGCCTAGTACTTCTGGCCGCTATTCCTGCCGTACTGCAGTGTAGCGTGCATACTCCCAGCATCCTAGTTCTTTGTAGTTGCGTATACCCTTAAAATTATGTTGAATAACGAACATTTCAAATTACGAACGGCCATTCGGAACATATCTCATTCGTAAGTAGAGGAGCGTCTGTAGTTTAATTTCAAACAATGTTTGTTTGTGAGTGTGTATTGCAGGGTAACATTGTGTTACATTGATTCATGACTAAATAAACATAAATAAATGAATGAATGAATGAATGAATGAATGAATGATAGAAAATGTATTGATCTTCAGATCCATCCCCAGCTGCGGTTTACCATCAGTTTATTATCTCTTTGTTGTACATATCTTATGAAAAGCTAGGATATGTTTTGTCCCCATAAATCTTTTACCTTATGTCATTTCAAAGTTTTTCAGCTGCAAACTTAATAAATGTTTTTAATCTAAGACTTTTTCTATACATTTGACATAAAATATTAGCCTGGATGTGATTTTGAGGCAGTGAATGATTTATAGACCAGGGCAGTGAGGCCCTGCACTAATATCAAGATACATCAGGGCCCTCTGCAATCAATACAGGTCTGCTGATGTGATCAGCGGCCTGTTATCAGTAAATTTAGCTTACCCTTAAATACTCCAGCACAAGCAGTTTGTAATGGCCTCTATTAAAATTTTAAAATGCCACCCTTGGCATTTTGCTTTTCTAACACTCAGTACCAGTATCGATTTGCTTGGAGGACCCTTGATATGGTTGGAAGAACAAGGAAATTGTTCCACATGCCTGCTTATTTGTTAAAGTTAATGCAGTTATTACTTATAGATGTAAGCTGGATGCTCAATAATTCACAATGGCATTAGAATAAATCATTAATGAACAAAATGCTCATTCTAAAGCTTTCTGAGTAAATTATAATCATTTTAATTAAAATGCACTTAATTTCTTTAATTAGACTTTTATGAAGTAACATACTCTAGGCCTCAATGATGGCAAATCAGTTCTACCTTTAACAGTACTCCATTAGTGTAAAAGTGGAACTGGAGTTCATTTTACCCTATAACAAATCTCAGATGTGTTTATTATGGCTTGCGTCATGCCTGGATCTTTAGTTTGGGAGGATACATTGCAATAAGGCAGCATTCACATCTTAAGCATTAGGTATGGGCAAAACAGGTCAGAGCTGCACAACAGTGAAAACCAGCAAGTGAAAACTGCAGTTGGCGGCTTGTCGTGTTAAATTATCTGCAGCCAATAGGAGGCAGTAAAGCCCTGACAGCAATGTAATGGTCTCACCACCTTCAGGGCCTAGTTTATGTGATTAGGGCCATTTTTTTCCCAAACTGTAAATGTGAAATAGACTTTCTCTCGTTTATCATGCACATGGACAGCATCTCTGATGGCATTTTAAGGAGGATTTCTTTGGTGTTTGTATCTTACCGTTCCAAGGGGCATGCTGAAAGAACCAGTAACCCCCTCCTCCATTGTTGGTAAAAAGTAAGATGGTCAGAGTGAGTCTGTAGCAGAAAAATACAAATTAGTCATTGTCCTCTAAAAATGAAATAAATCTACTCTGTAATTATTTATAAATTTCATGATTTTTTTGTACGTTTATACGTATGCCATGTTTAGTCCTCCATATTCAGTGCACCTTACTAATGCATTTATAATGCATTCATAGAACATTCATAAGCAGTATGTAAGTATACCTTAACATCGTAACATACCTTATTAGCTTAAATATACATTAATAACAAACATTATATGTTAATTACAAACATTATAATAATGTAATCCTATAATGATTGTTATTAATGTATATTAAAACTGTTAATGTATACTTCAGTGTTATACTTAAAGGAATACTTGAATGCTACTTATGAATGTTCTATGAATACATTCTGAAGGTGCACTGAATGTTCCTCGACTGCTTTATGAATGCATTATGAAGGAGCACTGAATGTACCATGAATGCATTATAAAGGCATTATGAAGGTGCATAAATGTAAAGTATTATCCTTTATGTGACCACTTCATAAGGAAGTTCCTCAAACCATTCACCAAGGACACGTTTTTCTGTCTCACACTTTCTGCCAGTATTCACTATGGCATTGTTGGAAAGCAATTACAATGCAATTACTATTGTGTCCCATTTTTCTGAGCTCAGCAATCCCAGAAATGACCACAAAACACTGGTCAGCAAAGACCTGCATGAGCAATCGCAGCAATCACAGCAACGAGGGTCAGCAAATCGAAGACATGCATGAGCAATGCCAGAAATCACCATAACACTGATCAGTTAATCCAAGACCTGCAGGAGCAATCCCAGCAATCACTGTAACACCAGTCAGCAAATCAAAGACCAGCATGAGCAATCCCAGCATAAGCAAACCCAGCAATCACCGCAACATGGCTCAGCAAACCAATGATCTGTATGAGCAATCCCACCAATCACTACAGCACTGGTCAGCAAATTGAAGACTTACATGAGCAATCCTAGCAAGCCCCACAACACTGGTCAGTAAACTGCAGACCTGTATGAGCAATCCCAGCAATCACCGTAACACCAGTCAGCAAATTAAAGAACTGCATCAGCAATCCCAGCAATCTCAGACATTTTTGTTGACTAGCACCTTAGCTGGTATGGCTAGCATTCTTACCAGCTAACCAGTATGTGTAACATATTAGGGCCCATAGGGACAGCAATTGGCATGTGAACTGGTAAGAGAGTCTGTCATCATTTACATTAAATGAAATGACCAAAACCCATTTTTTGTCACTAAAATGAAAATGCATTTTGAATAAAATCTGTATCATAATAGCTATAAACCCCACATACACATTTCTGTCTCAAAATAATCTGGGTATTTGGTGTAATTTCTTAATTAATAATGTAATAAAATTTAGAATGTAATTTTGTCGAAATTAAAAAAAAAAGGTTAGAATGTGCAAATGAGGTGCTACTTTTTCTTTGCAGTGCAAACAAATGAAACAGAGGCGACATGAATCACTTAGCAAATGAGCAGTTGTCCTCTGAATCTCCTCAGACTGAAGCAGTGACCAAAGGATTCTGGGTAATGAATTACAGCAATATAACTGTTATCGGGCCTGGGATGTACAAACAGGCTGTAGTACAGGTCTGCACCATGCCATGTGAATGCAAGCCCAACCTTCTCTTGGTTCTTTTGTAACTTCTGAAAGGCTTTTAATAATAATAAAAAAACAACCACATGCAAGTTCTGAAAAACATAGAGTTAATGTCACATATTGATTAAAGCTAGAGATGCCCCGATCGATCGGCCAGGGACCGGAATCGACTGCTGAGCGATCCCAAGAGCTTCTGGCTGCAGTACACGCACTCTCTGCCACTTGCACACTGTGGATCTGACATCACGTGCACGCTCTGCTATAATGGGAAATGCATCCATGTAATCGCTTCCTTATTACAATATCAAATAATATTCTTAATAATGTTAACACGTATACAGAATTAAAATGCTGCTAAATAGGCCGCAACCTACATTTGGAGGTCAAATAAATGACTATTGTATACCATACTACTGTATTTAATAATTGTTTCAGATAAACAGATAGACCTCATGCTAGTTAGCTCTGCTGTTCAGTATTCACGTCATATCCAAGGGAAATTACTTTCATACAGTCATGAGAATTTGTTTTATCCTCAAGAAAACCAGATTAAACACTACTACTAAATGAACAGAGGTTTACAGCATTTAGGAGGAGGCAAATTTAATAAACTGTTACATGTATTCATAATTCACCGTTTAACCGATAACCAATAGAAGATTTTTAATTGATTAATGCTATAAGTTGAATGGTTAATAAAAAAAAATGTTAAAAAATGCACAGTTTGGTAAATGCATACAACGGAGTGGGGAAAAATATATACACTTAGGTACATAGGCGAACTCATGAGGACGTGTCGACCCCTGCAACCAATTATGTTTGCTGTTGATCATTAATTAGGTACATTAAATACAGATTTGTTACAGCACTCCCCATGCTATACGTTAAAAAGCGTGCAGGCTACTTGCAGTTTATTTGAGTTTTACGATACTTTCTTACATGGAAGATGTAGGCTGTACCTGTCAATTAAGCATACTAGAGGATAAATGTTTGGTTCATTTTGTTAATCTATTTTGTTCATTGCAAAGTCTGGCAACTTGCTGATGACTATTTATATAAGTAGTGAATTGTTGGCACTTCTAAGTTCTAAAACATTTTTGTATTGGTGTATTTGGTGACGCGGACACGCATCCATTCTAAGTAGTACAAATGAACAAATTCTTAGTTAAATGTAATAACTATTAAGAATACTATTTCATATTGCAATAGGGAAGCGATTCCTGTTGTGGCAGTACTGCCGCCACATGCTGATTTTTGTCTGTATATGTTGTCAATTATAGTTCTTAGAAAGAAAATCTGTATCAGTACTTGCAAAAAATCGGAAATCAGAATCGGCCAAGAAAATTGCAATCAGTGCACCTCTAATTAAAACATTCCACTCCAAAGCCACTGTGAACAAATTGCTGTATCTGTATCTCAAGCTGTTTCTTGTTTTCCTGAGAAAATCCAATTAAGAGATACAACACAAAGCATTATGTTCCTTTTAGCCTTAACCTGCTGATACAAGATTTTAATCATGCACCATCATCTCAGAAGATCTATTAAAGCTGCACAAATCCTTGAGCACATGCACACTCATCCAGACCTCTTAAAATGCATCCATTAGTCTCCATGACAACAAATACAAAGGTTAACTCACTTTTCTGATTAGGTTCAGTGCAAATTATTGCAATATACCAACATATTGCCAATCTTTTAAATTAAAACCTTTATTTGACTTGGTCTATCCCAGAAAGCAGTGTCTTGGACAGATTAAAATACAATTTCAAAGACCTCTTGAAAAACATTTGGATTATGCTCAATTGCCAGATACAGAGCAAGCAGGACCTCACTGAGGACTTTATGGTATGTTAAAATTATAAAGAATGTTTATCATTGATGACCCTGTGTCATCAGTGCTATTTTGAGAACAGGCAAAGGAAACTTACAAAAAAAAAAGTCACAGAATGCTCTATCTCTGATCTGATGAAGGACAAATTCACTACATCATCCTTTCAGCTAATAACTGGCTGAAGCCAAACATTGTTTCCAGATGATAAGGGCAGCACTGGCAGGAGGGCAAAGTGGATTTGCATTGGCCAGCAGTGGCTGATTTCAGTCAATCAGAAACACAATGTCACCTGTACCAAGGACATCATGAAGACTGGGAGACATAAATCTGTCCTCAGATGCTTTCCTCGGAATACAGAAGTTCCTGTTTATGGAGATGTCATAGAAACTGTGGGAAAAAGGAACCACTGAAGGGCTTATAAACAAATGATTTTATTGGGTTTGGTGTGTTCAATTAAGTGTAAACCTCATTTTAAGGGTTTACAAATAGTAAAAAGGACAGGGCTTCAGAACCTGTAGTTACAGTCTCTGAGCCGAATAGAACTGTAGCCACATGAAGGGTAGAAATCTCTGAATGAGAGGAGGTCCTTCTTATTGATGGTTGAAAGTAAATTTTAGGGACAGGAGCATTCATCCTCAGACCTGGGCCAGAATCTTAATGGGCAAACAAAAAGTTGCATCTCAGCCAATAACACAAGAATACAACAAATTCAATTAGAAAAAGGTTTGACCATGCTTTGGGTCTTGTATTTACTGTCATGGAACACTCTATATAGGGTGTTTATATGAAACTATTTATTCTCTTTTTAACTAGCTGCCCACCTGAGCTCATAGAACCTGTAACTGGTAGTGACTGGAGGCAGATTAACCCACCTGCCATGTGGGTTCAGCCCCTGTAATGTTTCTGTTTGATCTGGATCACTTTTCTTTGCTGAGGCAGATGCTGATCCATGAACATTTTTACACAAACAAATGACACATATTCCACAAAGTCTTTCATTAATAATTAATAATTATTAAAAGCTGTTTAATGTTCTCCAAAAGATAAATAGCACAAAGTGTGGTTATATTAAGTGAATCACTTTTAATTTGCTAATATTTAGCCCAAGGACCTGTACATTAATAAAAAGACAACCTGTGTTCCTGAAGACGACCAAACACCACATGGCTTGTAACCCTGATCCCTGATCACACAATCTGAACACGTGTACCTTACCTCACCACTACACACTAGTACCTCACGTAAATGCTTTACACCAGTGCCTCATGCCACCGCCCCACTCCTAAACTGCATACCAGAGTCTCACATCATCACCTCACAACAGTGCCTCATACCGCCACCCCACACTAGCACCTCACACCATTCTGCAGACTGCTGTCACACACCAGCACCACAAATACATGCCGCACACTGGAACTGCATACCAGTGCTTCACACCAGCACCTCAAACCACCCCCTCATGCCTGTGCCATACACCAGCACCTCACACATCCACTGCACACCACCACAACACACCAGTGGCTCACACTGGTGCAGCACACCAGTGCCACACACTGTCACCATGCACCAGTGTTTCACATCAGTGCCGCACAATGCCACCACACACCATTGCCAAATATCAGCACTTCACACCAACACTGCATTGTTTAGCGGGAAGACAAAGTCTGACTACTCCTAAATAAGAAATAGTGATTAAAAACAATGAGACAGGGCTGTGGAGTCGGTAGATAAATGCTCCGACTCCGACTCCTCAGTTTCTAAATCTTCCGACTCCGACTCCCCGACTCCGACTCCTCTGTATGTATATACTATGCTAATGTATTTTCTACATCCATTTTAGGAAAGGAAGGCAAGATACATGTCATTTCACCACAGAACTACTGGCTAGGAAGCCAACACTCTACTATAATGCCAGATTAAAGACAAACACAATGAAAACAAGGTTTTCACTAGCGCATAGCGAAGGGGAGCCGACGGAGCTGAGAACACACCAGATGATTTTTCCGGCGTTTGACGCGTGATGACTCGTTGAACGGCCGAAAAATCGGCAGTGCATCTGTAAATGTATGGGGGGCTTTAGGCTAGGTTCACAGTTCCCTGTAACAGTGGAACACGACACAATGGAAAGCGGTGCCGCACCTTACCTGTGCATTACATCCCATATAGTGACGCATACAGTCAATGAAAAGCATGCTTCATGGTTACTTGACATGTTCGTTTTGTGGTAACATTATGCACTGCATGCATTGGGCTTTATTCTTACAGCAGAGAAGTAGTTCATTATGACTGTTTGTGAATTGGGACATTTCAACTTACTTTTTTAATTCCCATTTAAATTTAGTAGGAGTCGGAGTCGGTTAACTTTTTGCCGACTCCGACTCCAGGTACCCAAAATTGTCTCCGACTCCGACTCCTCGACTCCGACTTCACAGCCCTGGATAATCTGCTTCTTAAAAATACACGGGAGGAGTATTAAACAGGAATGCTCTATGTCCCTGGCAAACAGTTTCATTCTCCTGTTTTGTCAATCTCCTACTAAATGGCAGATTCACCAGAGAAAATTCCACGTACTGTAGGTCAAGAAAGGTTACAGAAAGCAGGAATAGTGAAGAGACTCAATTAAGTTAGGAAACATTAGTCATGCAGAGGTAATGAGCTGCTGTGTGGAAACAGAACCTGGTCACTGCAAAAACATGACCCTGTCGCTGCTTAAACAAGATGTGGTCACTGTGGAAACACAACCCGGTAGCTGCGGATACACGACCCGGTCATGGTGGAAGCACGGCTTGGTTGCAGTGGAAACAGGGCCCAGTTGCTGTGGAATGACAACTTGTTTGCTGTTGAAACATGACCCAATCGCTACAGCAATACAAAATGGTCACTGTGGAAACATGACCTGGTCACTGCAGAAACAGGATCGGGTTGTTGTGGAAAGACAACCTGATCACTGCAGAAACTTAGCCCGGTCCCTGCAGAAACACAATTCAGTTGCTGTGGAAACATGACCTGATTGCTACAGAAACAGGACCCCATCGCTGCGGAAACATGTCCTGATCTCTGTGGAAACACGATGTGGTCACTGCTGAAACACCACCCAGTCTCTGAGGAAAACAGGACCCCTTCACTGCGGAAACATGTCCCAGTTGCTGTGGAAACATGATGCGGTCACTGCAGATACACTATGCAGTCACTGCTGGAACATGACAGGTATCTGCAGAAACACGGCCTGGTCACTGCGGAAACATGACCCAGTCCCTGCTGAAACATGATGGGTCACTGTGGAAATGTGTCCTGGTCACTGCTGCAATACAACCAGGTTGCTGTGGAAACATAAGCTAGTTGCTGTGTAAACATAACCCGGTCCCTGCGGACATACAACCTTTTAGCTGCAGACACAAGACAAAATACAACTCTGTATTAAAAGATTTCTACTATCATTCTTTAATTATGTTACATTTTGAAAATGACAGTTCTAGTTGGGATCTTTTCCACACCAGGATAGGGTCGAAGGTCCCAACACACCGAAACAGAAACATTAAGTGCCTGGGTGCTAATCTGTTTATCTATGGAGAATTATCAGCACAGCACCGGTGCATTTCTCTATGTTTCTATGGTGAATTATCAGGGCATTTTTATGACTCTTTTTGCAAATACCATGCCAGCAATTGCAACTTTCAACACACAAACAGCCGGTGATGGGCCTTAACGATGTCACTTCCGTATCCATTACTGCAGCAAAAAGGACAGATTCATTGTTTGCTGCCCTGTCAATGGACGCTGATGCCTTGTTTTATTGCATCAGCTAATCTGCTGGGGTGGGGGGGTGGTTTCCTGTACCAGGCGACGAGTCCCAAGCCCAAAACCCCCAGGCCACAATTAAGCCAAACTGAGATGCAAGATTAAATCACATTGCTTCTGTTCAACAGGATTTCATTGTTCCATACCAGAGAGGCAAAAGATATTAGTAACTATGCCTGAAGCCACTGAGGCACAAATGGGTCTCTAACCAGTCAGTGACCCCTGTCAGCATCCATTACACAGCGTGTATCAGCACCAATACATCTCCCTTACATCCTAGTGCCAATAACGAATCAGGAGGAAATGAGTGCTTCCCATCCAGCAAAGAACAGGCCTCAAACCGTGCATTCAACACCTCAGCTGTGTCGAGCCCAAAAAACCAGGCAGAACCAGCCAAGCCAGCAGAAATGGCTCAAGTACTGATGCCAAATGTGCTTTCTTGGAAAATGCTGGAAATACCATGAAACTGTCCATCAGGATCACCAAAATGTTTGTTTGTACAGGTGCATCTTCTATGGAAATCCTTAGTCACACACCAGCAGACAGTCCCGAAAAGCCACACAGGTAGAAAACCCCGGCTGGACCACCGTCATTGAATTAATTTCCTTCTGCACCCTCTGAAAGTGACCAGAGACTTCACATGCAATGATTAGGGTTAGGGTCAGATAGTGGCAGTGTGTAGGCCTACATACCCTCTGAATGCATCCAGAGACTTCACACGTGTAGGTAGGGGTTTGGTGCAATCAGCTTGTGTAGTAGAATTTGCTGCAAGTTCCTAAAAGTTAAACAGGAGGCACATATAAATTACATTATTCACAGGATCTCAACATACAGCTCTGACGACACACAACCACAACCGTCTGACTTCATACTCAAAAAGGCTTTTCCACACCCTGCTTGACTGCACACAGATACAGCTGTTCAGACAGGGTTGGCTGCATCTGATGGCTATTTAACAAGTCTCTGGCCTCATAATGGCCACACGGCAGGGGGCTGTAGGACACAGTGATACAGATGTTGCTAGAGTCACATTACAAACAGCTTCAGCATTAAAATCCAAGCCCATCCACCTCATACAGTAAGTACTGCATAAGCCTTGCTATGTTCTTCTCTTTTTATTACATTTAAATGTAATTTTAAGAGGAAACATTTTCTCACACATCAGATAAAAAAAAAAAACACATGTACATATTAATATAATATTTGATTTGATTATGAGGATATTGCTAATATTACCCAGAGTGACCACAAACAAGTGGTAAGCATTTGTGAATTTTAAGAAAGATCTAATGTGGGGTGATCACTGTTTTTTTTTGGTTTGACACAGATAATACTTGTGTTTTGACCTACTGATTATTATTAGTCAAATGAATAACCAAATTACTTAGGGAACCATGATGCTTTTGAGAGTTTCAGCAGAACTGTCTTAAACAGTTGTCATTTCCCTTTACTAATTATACTAATATTCCTCTCAGTCTTAATTAGTCTCCTTAATAGACCTTAATAGACTTAGATTTAATTCTGGGTTTTTTTTTTTTAGCAGTGACAGTAAATGTGATTGAGAAGTCTCAGTTGTAACTTTATTAATTATATAATTACATAATGATTTCTTCATGGTTTTCATTCCCTGAACTATTAGGTGAAAAAAATAATTTTACATAAAACATAAAACCTAATATATAAAAGGAAATTTTTTTTTTTTTTAGTTTTTCTAATATCTGTACAAGTCCAGCACATTTAAAGTTTAATGTAGGGTATAAATGACAAGGATACAAAGTGCTTAAAGGGTCCTAGGAGTGGCAGAGATAACCTTATAACTGAAGCAGATGTGGTTGAGCAGGGGGCTCTGCAGGACCTCCTCCCCAGCCCCCTAACAGAGGCGGGCAGTGTCCCGTTGTTAACAGAGCGTTACTAGCCTTAGCACTGAGACTAGAACAAACCGGGGAGAATAAGCCCTGCACTGAAGCAGCTATGTGCTCTGCTAGAATAAGAAGCTGCGAGATACACACTACAGAAGCTCCAGGGCTGTTCCATAAATCAGGAACCGTTATCAGCACTTCGTGTACGCGAGGTGTCAGCAAGCCAGGCAGCAGACCTGCCCATCCCCTGTCCATCTAGCTCCCAGCAGTCCATCCATCTCCATGCTTGTCCAGCAACCGTCTGTCCATCCATGCCGTGTCTATTCATCTCCCTGCCACCCAGACTCCAGCTGTCCACCCATCTCCTGTCCATTCATCCCCCGCCTCAGTCCATCACCCTAGCCGTCCATCTCTCTGGCTGTACATATATCCTCCTGCCCGTCCATCCATCCCCCTGTCTATCCATCCCCTGCTACCCAGCCCACGACCAATCCTTTCTGCAGGGGTAGCTGCGATCCAGGCCTGTGGCTCTGTGCTGATTGAATTTCAGTGCCAGCACAGGAAGATGACTACCCTAATTTCCTGTGACAGATCTGTCTGCCATCGTAAAACCATATGGGAGATGGAAATCTCCTTTGGAAACTGGAGGAACTATTCAGACCTGCCAAAGCCCTGAGTTAAAGCCTGCGTTACAATCCCACTGGAAACAACAAAGACAATCGCAGTTCACAGCTCGAGATTTCCATTGGTGTCCAGGGGGCAGAGCTACCTGCATTCAGAGGACATTTAAAAGCAATAGGAAATTGTTACAAATTAATAAACTGTCAGCTCATGCAGACAGAGCTTCCCACAATATCACAAATTAATGAAAAGCTCTCTTTTCATATGGAAAATAACAATGAGCAGTTTTTTAATTTGACCAGCATCATGTCCAGAGTCAGCAAAATTAGCTCCTAGTCTGTTATTCCCACATTTTAGCCTCTTGGCACCAGACTGAATGTGATGTTTCCAGATGGTCCTGATTTGGACTCTGCAAAGCAGGACAAAGGTCCCCAGCCTACACTGATGACCCATACCCTGCGTTTGGGAAGCTTAGGTCTCTTGGACAGGTGGGGTAATACTACACCCTATCTGTAAGTCCAAACCCTTAGTTATCCCATCATTGTTAGAATTCGGGTGACTCTAATACTGCAAAGTCCAGAACATGGATGTGGTGTGCTTAGATCCCTGCTCAGTGATCAGGCTGTAGCTGACCATCACCTGCCACTCACACCTGCCTCGGTTAAAAAAATCCATGTAGAATTATGGTGAGCATTGTTCTTCCAATAAAATCCTTTAAGAATAAGGCTGAAAACTGAACAAACACCTGGCTGAATACGATTGAAAGGGGCTAATAAGACCAAGATTTGACTCACGCAGTCCTGGGAAGCACCTGGGCTTTTGCGTAACATGGTGTTCAGGCATTTCTGTGTGTAGTGCCATCTGTTGAGATAACAATGTTATAACCTGTTAAGTACAAACACACTTTTAAAACAAATTTTATTATTCAGTTTATTCAATCCACTCATCTTTTACATGCCTATTAGTAATGGACTGGCACAGAGTTGCTGAGGTTTAGATCTCTGTGTGTATTTTTATTAACATTCAAGTTTTACCTTGTCAAATTCTTATTTTATGTTTGAAAACTCCCTAGACCAAACAATCTTATTTTTCTTCCCATTATAATAAACATGGAAATGCACAATAATTCTCAGTCACAATAAAAAATACACACTGTTCTTGCAGCAAATGCTGGTTGCGATGTGATTGCATGCTTGTATTAATCCAGACTTACCTGTACATGTACGGCCAACAAAGAACGATGATGGTCAATGAAAGCATGACAATGGCAGCAACCAGGATGGCTGAGGAGAAGGACAAGTAGATGAAGTACAACGAGGTGTTTACACCTGAAAAGGTCCTTCACACATCCATATATAGTTTACAGACTGTCACTTTGCCTGTCATCACTGGCTTTTCCTTTATGATTTTTTCTCTTATGGGAATCATTGGCTGTTTGTCAAGACAAATGCTTGCCAAAGCTCGAAGGCACCATGCCGACAGTCTAGTGTGGAGAGCGCTAAATCTTAGCAGCCGTTTGCTTTATTGAAGCTCTGGTTGTTTCACATTGAAAGAGTGGGTGGTGGGTAATTACTCTTCTGATGCTTAATCAAAATCATTGCTACCGTTACAAAAACACAAGATTCCCTTTACTGTAAAATAGTGACCTCTGGTAAGTATACAGCTCATTAAACATAATATTAAGCAAAAAACGAATAACTATGAAAATACTCAGTGTCTCAGCCTGCGGTGTCATTCCTCAATGGTTGAGGGTAGTGTCGTCACTTTTTAACCGATATTCCAGCTTTCGAACATGCGTTCGGATATGATGTGAAAAATTCAAATTCAAACTAATATTAACATACTCGCATTTTAAAGTGTAACTGTAGCCTATAATCGAATTAAGCCGTAGTGATGGCCGATTCGCGAACGAATCGTTCTTTTTAGCTCGGTTTTTTTAGTGAACGGGTTGAACCGATTCGTAAGTCTGAACGAATCGATTTTTAAAATAATTTTAAAACTGATATTTGGCTGTTCAATATCCAAAAGCATCCCCCGCGATTTCAGATTTTTCATGTTCCGTCGGCGCTTGTCATCACTTTTAGGTTTATTCTTATGTTCGTCACTTACATTCGTCACTTATGCGTTCGTAGACTTCCATCTGGTGCCGAGAACACCCGAACGGCGGAGTACCTGGTCTCTAACTCGATGACTCCAAAAAACCCGAGAGCCTGTTCGATGAGTGAATCAAATTTACGGGTTTTCGGACACTGGGTGACTCAAAAGAACCTGTTCGATGAACGAATCGAACTTACGGGTTTTCGGACACTCGGTCAATGACTCAAACGAACGGTTCGCGAATCGATCCCAAGAGCCCTCGCGGCGTTTACTGTGGAAATGCAGTTACAGTTGCTGTTAAAAGGAATAAAATAAACGCAGCTCTTCATCATTTATCACAACAGTAAATTATTGCATTTCTGTATAATAAAACTACATGTCTTTCATCAAAGAACAAACTAAGATATTTATTAACTTTGACGTTTACACAACAACGTATGCAAGTTTACTCATGCTTATTGTATGTGTATGTGTGATTGTATTGGTAATATTGCAGTTGTTGTTAACTGTGATGTAGCCTACAGTCGTTATTAGTAACGCGTTGGAGTTCTGTGAAGGAATGCAAAACTATTACAAACAATATCCCACCCTGACGACTTAGAGGCTCCATACATGTCATGACCTACGCGTACGATCCTCGTGTGTGCCACTCCCCCTGATCAACTACATGTGCTACCCTAATTGTGCCAAGCTGTTTTCTATCAGTCTGATATATTCCAGTGGTACCTCAGTTCTCAAACTCATTAGAACTCGAATTTCTTAAAAGTCGAACCAACCAGCTCAAAAAAAAATCTCAGAAGTCAAACCGTGAACGCCAACCTAAGATAACTTGTAGGCCTGGGGAAATGAGTCACGCCGCATGTCTCTCAGCGGAAACAAAGGGTAAAGCTTCAATTTCAGCCTCGCATTCACTGTGATAGCGTCGTGCATGTTTAAACTAGCTGAATACATATATTTAGACAGTAAAAATACATTTAGACAATAAAATATATTTTAAAATAAAGATTTCTTATTCATTATTTTAATATTAACAATAAACCATTAATACATTTAATTATAATAATATTGTCCTGCCAAGCGGGGACAGAACAGAGACAAAGGCGCAGACATCAGGGTATCGGGAATACGGGGTTTAATTACAGGTAAGGCAGGTAAAACGCAGACGGACAATACATTGACCGGACCGAGGAAACAAACTGAAACTCGGATGAAATACAGAGAGCTAAAAAAAAACAACCAGAAACAGCTGATCACACGGGGATTCCACACGGGGTTAATGAGGGGGCGTGGCACATGGAAGGAGCCGACGATCCAGGACACATTGTTTTTTTTTAACTTTACACATTGTTTGGATACATTTTTAACAACTCTGAGCTATTAGTTAAGTTCTCCCCAAGCGAGCTTGATGGGCCGAATGGCCTCCTCTCGTTTGTATAGTTCTTACGTTCTTATGTTCTTATTTATTTTCTTACTTTACAAATTACTGTTTTGATAAATGTGCTTAGATGTGTTTAGTACAGTATATGCTCTACTTGTTTTATCTGGATCATTTTGTGTTTAAATGCTAAAAAAAACATATTTAGGTGTAATTTTTTGGGGCCGGGAACCAATTAATTGGTTTTCCATTATTTCTTATGGGGAAAATTCGATCAGAACTCGAATTTTTAGGATTTGATCTGGAGTTCTGAACGGATTAAGTTCAAGTTTCGAGGTACCACTGTATTTAGTCTGCGTCTGAATCCGTTTTCCCCAGATCTGACATTGATGTTAGTTTGCCGCTGCTACATGTTTTCCCTGGTTTCCCCAAAATAAACCCTTGTGTCCTGGATCTTTGCCTGCCTGCCTCGTCCTTACCCGCCTCCTGCCTGCTCGCCGGACAGCGGTCGTAACAGTACAAATGTGACGTTGTACGGACTGTTAATAAAATACTGAAAAGAATGGATTCTAGTTTGCTTTTTTTTTTTTTGGGAGGGGGAGGGGGTCACAGGTATTCCAATATATTTGAACAAATTCCTTTGAAATTCGTTCAAACTTGGTTTTTGAAAAGAATACATTTGGGTGGGTATCATTCCCTGCATTTCCGGAACATAACTATCTTAACATGTTACATGACTGTTTCAAAAACTCAGATTCTGTAGACCATATCAATTAAAAAATTAAGGCTAAAATTCAAATCATAATAATAAGTCAATAAGCATAAGTATAAATCAAAAAACCTATGAAAACACGTACATGGTCTGTAAACTATTAATTAGCAATAACATACTCTTAACTGCCTCTCCTGGAGCCGACACCTTATCGTGGTGGAGGGGTTTGCATATTCCAATTATCCCAGGAGCTAAGTTGCCCGGGGCTTTATGCCCCTGTTAGGGTCACCCATGAGGCAAACAGGTCCTGGGTGAGGATCCAGACGAAGTGCAGCTCATCAGACCCCTTATGAAGAGAAACATGTTGCATCCACGATATCCCTCACCCGGACGCAGGTAACTGGCGGCCCCCCCTGGAGCCAGGCCTGGGGATGGGGCTCGATGGCAAGCAAGACACATGGGTCCCCCCTCCAATGGCCTCACCACCTGTAGGAGGGGCCAAAGGGGTCAGGTGCAGTGCCAGTTGGGCAGTGGCTGAAGGCGGGGACCTTGGCGGTCCAATCCTTGGCTGCAGCAGCTAGCTCTAGGGACATGGAATGTCACCTCTCTGGTGGGGAAGGAACCTGAGCTGGTGCGCGAGATTATGAGGTTCCGACTAGATATAGTCGGGCTCACCACGACGCACGGCTTGGGCTCTGGAACCAGTCTCCTTGAGGGGGGGGTGTTGCTCGCGGGGAGAGGCACCGAGCCAGGGGTGGGCATACTTATTGCCCCCTGGCTGGGCACCTATACATTGGGGTTTACGCAGTGGACGAGAGGGTAGCCTCCCTTCGCCTTCAGGTGTTTATGCGCCAAGCGGCAGTGCAGAATACCCACCCTTTTTGGAGTCCGTGGAAGGGGTGTTGGAGAGCACTCCTCCTGGGGACTCTCTTGTTCTGCTGGGGGACTTCAATGCTCATGTGGACAATGACAGTGAGACCTGCAGTAGCGTGATTGGGAGGAACGCCTCCCCCCTCCCCCCGATCTAAACCCGAGTGGTGTTTTGTTATTGGACTTCTGTGCTCGTCACAGATTGTCTATAATGAACACCATGTTCAAGCATAAAGGTGCCAATATGTGCACTTGGTGGCAGGACATCCTAGGCTGTAGTTCAATGATTGACTTTGTGGTCGTGTCGTCAGACTTGTGGCCGCATGTATTGGTCACTCGGGTGAAGAGAGGGGCGGAGCTGTCAACTGATCACCAACTGGTGGAGGATTGGCTACGTTGGTGGGGGAGGAAGCCGGTCAGACCTGGCAGGCCCAAGCGTATAGTGAGGGTCTGCTGGGAACTTCTGGCAGAATCCCCTGTCAGAAGGAGCTTCAACTCTTACCTCTGGCAGAACTTCTCCCATGTCCTGGGGGAGGCGGGGGACACTGAGTCCGAATGGGCCATGTTCTGCGCCTCCATTGTGGAGGCAGCAAACTGGAGCTGTGGCCATAAGGTGGCTAGTGCCTGTCGTGGTGGCAATCCCCGAACCCACTGGTGGACACCGGTGATGAGGGATGCCGTCAAGCCTGTGGGACTCCAGAGGCAGCTGACAGGTACCAGCAGGCTAAGCGGAATGCGGCTTCGGCAGTCACTGAGGCAAAAACTTGGGTGTGGGAAGAGTTTGATGAGGCCATGGAAAACGACTTCCAGACAGCTTAGAGGAGATTCTGGTCCACCATCCGGCGGCTCAGGGTGGGAAAATGGTGCAGCACCAACACTGTTTATGGTGGGGAATAGGTGCTGCTGACCTCAACTAGGGACATTTTGGGTCGGTGGAAGGAATACTTCAAAGACTTCCTCAGTCCCACCGACACACCTTCCAACGAGGAAGCAGAGTCTGGGGACTTGGGGGTGGACTCCCCTATCTCTGGGGTGGAGGTCGCTGAGGTGGTTAAAAAGCTCCTCAGTGGCTGGTCCCCGGGGGTGGATGAGATCCGCCCGGAGTTCCTTAAGGCTCTGGATGCTGTGAGGCTGTCCTGGTTGACACGCATCTGCAGCATCGCGTGGACATCGGGGGCAGTGTCTCTGGACTGGCAGACCGGGGTGGTGGTCCACCTCTTTAAGAAGGG